CAAAGATATACTTTCCACAGGAGTCTCTAGTTTTAATTACTTTTTAAGCAAGTCAGTTCTTGGTGGTAGTAAAGAGCAGTACCACCACCTCTCTGATAAGGTCGACAGTTGTGAATTGCTGAGTAGTTTGGTAAGTTGAAGATTTGAGTAGCATCCTCTTTTAACCACGTTTCAGTAAGCACAACAAAAGAGAATTTGTTGTCAACTGTTTGAATTAGAGAACTAATTCGTTCAACAGGACATTTAACTTTTTACTAACCCCCATGTTTACAATAATATTCTGTAGTACTAACGTTACACTGTAGTCTAATCCACCATATATGGTATAATTTAATGATATTATTAGTAAATGTTTATGGTTTATTATATCACCACCAATTATGGGATAAGCTGTGTACATTTACCAACAAACCCCGAACTATGCATAAAAGTAAATCCTGGCAGGCTGAATTTACATACAGTCCTCTAAAATAAATATTCCACAAATTAAAAAGCACATACTGCCTGCTAGGATTACCCCACACCAGTGAGCGTTGGAACAAGTTCCGACCTCGGTGAGTGTGAATCTACAAGGAATGGCCATTAAAGAGGCTGGTGAAGACACGACCAAGGTCATGGTAAGCAAGTGCTCATTTCATTTTCACTTGTAAAGAGACAAGTGGAACATTGACTATGACCCTAGAATTGGAGATTTTTATTTAACTTATCAAGACAGTGAATACAGTGAACAGACAGTGATGGCGCCCCGTTTCAAAACTGACCCAACTAGTGAATTCGGCCATCGTAATATCTTCTTCTGTGACTAAGAATATCTGAATCTTCCATGAATCAGTGCATTGGGCATTGACATAAGCATACCAGGGAAAGGTACCTCTCGTGGAGCGACAAGGGTCAGGGAAGATCCAGTGTTGACACCGGTGGCGGACGCCCCGGAGAACTTGCTCCCCTGGTGCGTCGAGAGGATCGGCGCCACGTCTGCGTTACCCAAGGCAGGACGAGGATACACGTGAGGCCAGTGAACAGCTAGTATATGATAACGGACTTCAGTGAGCTGGTGAAAAATGAAAGTTACAAAACACTAGAGATTCCATCGATTCCTAGCTAAATAATCTCCCCTTCTCTTCCGCCGTTTATCAATTAGGCTGCATAGACCAAGGCCTATTGGCAAGTGATACTATTTTATGCCAGGCCAGTCCAGCTGAAAGTGAATCTAGCAGAACAGAATTTGAATTACAGCTGACCCGATTAAAACTAGCCGAGCAAGAGGCAAGAGTGGCAGAACAAAATGCAAGGGTAGAGGAGCAAAGGCTCAAAACTGAGGAGGCAAAAATTAGAGGCAATGTCAATGTACCACCACCTGCCGGGGATTCAAACCCCAGGCATTTTGATAAAAAGCATAACCTGCCTGAATTTTCAGAGCTAGACCCTGAAAGGTTTTTCAACCATTTTCAGAGACTGGCCATGTCCCTGAACTGCCAGAGGAAGAGTGGGTGAAAATCTTACAGGGGCGGCTCAGAGGTAAAGCTCAAGATATTTTTTATAAACATGCCTGACTACGAGTGTTTTGAGTATAGTAAAGTCAGGGAATGGATTTTGAGGGCATATGAAATTATGCCTGAAGCTCACCGCCAAGCTTATCGCAACCTTAGGCCTACTCACAACCAACCTCTCAATGAATTTGCAAATGATCAAATCAGACTGTTCGAAAAATGGATTCGCTCAGCTAAAGCTGAAACATACAAGGCACTCAAAAATTAAGTTTTAACAGAGAATTTTATGGATAATATGCCAGAGCCAGTAGTGCGGTACCTACGAGAGAGGACGGAGGTAGATAAAAATATTAGTGATTTGGCCAAGATGGCAGAGAACTACCAGTTGGTGGGCAAAAGGCCCAATAAAAATAATTATAGCCCACATAGTAACAAACTTTATACCCACAGCCAGTCCAGACCAGCCCATTCTAACCCTATAACTATTGCACCTTCTGTTTCAGACAAAACTAACCCTGTTAAATTGTCTAACCCCATGGCACCTAAGGGTGAACCAAAGGGCAATCCGGTTAGTAATGTCTCTTCTCCTCGACGAGTCTGTGGTCACTGTAAACGTGCAAACCACATTACTAGCCGGTGTTGGCAACTGTACCCAGAAAAAAGACCCAATGCTTTTGTTGAGACACAGGGCTTGAGGCCTTCTGAAGGGTTAGGGAGTATGACCTCCAACCCACAGTTTTTGGACCTGCTTAACCCATTCTTATCAAAAGAGTCGTCTGAGGGTTCCTCCTGGAAGGAGGAACCCTCTGAGAGTCTGAGTCTGAGAGTTTGTCGTCTGAGTGTTCCTCCTGGAAGGACGTGGTGATCTTCCGAGACACCGGTGCCATCCAGACTTTAATCTTGGAGAGTGCATTGCAGGGTGCCAACACTCTCGACACTGGAGAGGTAGTACTGGTCAAGGATGTCACTAGTGATACTCGAGCAGTACCCTTCCATAAGGTTACCCTGGAATCTGATTTCCACAAGGGTGTTTGTACAGTTGGAGTCACTTCTTACCTACCTTTCCCTAATGTTGATGTAATATTGGGTAATGATTTAGCAGGGGATAAGGTAGGGAACTCCAGACTGCCTATTATGTTGCCTACCCCTGAGGTTTCCCTGGATCTACCCACCGCAGAGGATAATGTTGTGTACCCTACATGCGCGGTGACCAGGGCTATGGGATTTAAATGTAAGGGCAGCCCTGTGGTTGCCAAAGTGGTAAATCCTGAGGACACGAGGAACTTTCCGTGTGGTGAAAACCAAGTGGACCTTGCGGAAACGTTCATGGCCCGACTCGTTGATGAGGCAGAGGACATTGTGGAGAGCCTACCATCGCCTCCTACTGAGAGTAGTGAGGAGGTGGAGGAGAACACTGTTGAGCCTCGGCCAATGGCATCTGACCAAGGTATGGATGCCTCCTTGAGTGATTTACAGAAAGCTGACCCCAGTCTTGCAGAATGTCATGATGTAGCTCTCTCTAAGGAGGAGATTCTAGATGCAGCAACCGGGTACTATTACAATGATAAGATTTTGATGAGAAAATGGAGACTCCCTTGTCAAATGAGTGGGAGGTAGTCTACCAGGTTAGGTTGCCTACCTGCTATAGTTTTGGCAGCTGCTCATGATGATTCTATGGGGGGGGGGACATCAAGATATTAATATTACTCATCAAAAAATCTTTAAATATTTCTATTGGCCCAAGCTGAAAAGCGTTGTGGCAAAGTTTTGTAACTCATGTATTCCTTGTCAGCTTGTTGGGAAACCAAACCAGACACCACCTAAAGCTCCTCTGAGGCCTATTGTCGTGCCGGAGGAACCATTTTCTCATGTGGTAATGGACTGTGTTGGTCCATTACCTAGAACTAAGTCTGGAAATATTTACCTGATAACCATATGAGTATTACAACCCGTTACCCAGAGGTTTTTTCTGTAAGGAACATCCGAGCAAAGACTGTTGTGGCTCGTATGTTGCAATTTTTTTCCACTTTTGGATTGCCTCGGGTCGTGCAAACCGACAATGGTACTAATTTTAAGTCTGACATTTTTGAACAATTTTGTAAGGACAATGGAATAACTCATAAGGTTTCCAGCCCATACCATCCACAGAGTCAGGGGGGTAATTGAGCGGTTCCATCTAACTCTGAAGCAGATGTTGAAGACATCGTGCGAGAATTCCTACAAATTCTGGGATGAGAACTTGCCTTATGTTTTGTTTGCTGCTCGAGAGGGGGTACAAAGTTCACTGGGTTGTTCTCGTTTTGAGTTAGTCTTGGGCTTCGTGGCCAAGGTTCGTGGACCCTTGCAAATGTTACAGGAGAATCTGTTAGGGAACGTGACGTTGACCGACGGTTCAGCTTTCTTTACGCAACACCACCAGAGACTCGGTGACTGCAAGGCGACTGCACTAAAGTATCCTGGGATGGCCCAAGAAAATATGAAAGAACAACACGATGCTAAGGCTAAGTTGAGGGTATTTCAGCCTGGTAACCCTGTCCTGGTATTAAAGCCTCGATTAGGGAACAATATGTCTCACAAGTACGAAGGCCCCTATATTGTGACAGAAAAGGTTGGGGACCTCACGTACAAAGTAAGGCACTCTGACAAGCGTAACCAGGTGATGCTTGTACACTTGAACCGTCTGAAGAAGTTCCAGGGGCCCCAGGCCCATCACTCTAACCAATGTTTCCTTTTCCAGTGAGGGAGGGGATGATTGTTCTGGGGACCCAACTAATCTCATTCTCAATAATTCTAGTTCTGTGAATGCTGTGGAGGAGAGCCTGTACCATTTGCAGATGGCCCAACGTGAAGAGTCGTTACTTGACGAATTCTCCAGTCTGTTCGGGGAGGTCCCGACCCAGACTGATGCCATCTACCATGATGTCAAGTTGACAGACTACACCCCCCATTCGTCTTCACCCCAATCGGATGAGTCCAGTAAAAAGGCCATCGTGCGGAACGAAGTCAACTTTCTGCTCCAGCACGGCCTCACCAGGCCGAGCCAAGGCTCTTGGTGCTCACCCTGCCTTTTGGTCCTCAAATCAGATGCCTCCTGGCGATTATGCACCAATTATCGGCAGCTCAACAAGGTGACAATTATGGATGCCTATCCGCTGCCCCTCCTTGAAGACTGCATCGACGAGATCGGGAACGCCACGTACGTCTCGAAATTCGATCTCTCGAGGGGATATTATCAGATCCCGCTCATCGCCCATGCCAAGCAACTAACTGCGTTCGTAACACCCGATGGTGTTTTCGAGTATCAAGTGTTACCGTTTGGCTTTCATAATGCCCCTGCAACGTTCCAGAGCAACTGTAACATCACTTGAGAATGAACCTTGAGAATAGGATAGAGCCCGTTAGGCTCAGCAATCATTATACCGGTTTTTGACGGTTGAGAGACGGACCAAAGAGCCGAAACTCAACCCCCGCAAGCACAACACGGGGAGTATGCACACACATCCGACTCACCTTGCCCAGATAGACATCGGCCAGGATGGCGCCGGGAATGGGGGCGAGGTAGACGAGGCCTTCCATGATGGCCTTGACCGTCGTGGCCGAGGAGGAGGTGAAGCCCAACATCCGCTGCATGTAGAACACAGCACCGCCGAAGAGCCCGAAGTAGACGAGGCGCTCGAGCAGGTAGGACACCAGGATGACTATGGCCCCTCGAGGGTAGGCCATCATAACCGCCCCGCCAGACCTTGTTCCACAAGCCATGACGTCTCTCTTCACCTGTTTCAATTTAAATATAATTAAAAAATATAATAAGGAACGTTTCGATTTTTTTTTCTTATTTTTAACGATTAAATTGTTTATATGTCGTACTTTTAGATACTTTGCCACTCTCTCAACCATCGACTTCAAATTTCATCATCGACATGCACAATGTGACCAAAGGCAGTGCAACAAGAAACATCAACATAGACAACTGTTATCACGCCATCCACTTCTCCACTTCTGCAAAAGCATGCGTCTACTACAACACATTCACTCGCCGACCGGGAGACCTCGTCATAGCAGAAACACAAAAATTGACCATCAAGGTCAATTTGCCAACTGCCAGCGACAGCACAATGCCTGTCGACCACGCACAACCTGAAAAGCTAAAGTAGATCTTAAAATGCTAATCGAGGAACAACGAGCCGAGGCCAATAGAGCCTACCTTGGGGATGATGAGGAAGAGGAACATGTAGAAATATATTTGGTATCAATCGACAAGGAAGAAGAAAGAAAACACCAAGAAGCATCAGACAAAAACTACAGAAGCAAGGATCTAGATAAGCGTTAGAAATATAAAATTTAATGTTATTCTTCAGCTATATCTTGCTCTTGTTAGGCCCCATTTAGATTAAGCGGTTCAATTTTAGCCGCCATATTACAGAATGGACATAAAATCACTTGAACGCGTTCAGCAAAGGAAGGCAAAGCAATCCCATAAATTATACATTTTCCATGTGAAATGGGATGAGTTAGTTAGTTAGTGTAGTTTAGTTATTATGCTCCCCATACCCATCTTAGGGAAGAGTTTAAGTTTAGTTCATTTATTATGCACCCCATACCCATCTTGTGGGCGGTAGTGGAAAGGGTTACAGAGGCACATAATGGGCTCAGGGACTGAACCTCACAATTCATTTAGCTAAGCAAGTTACAATCTTGATGAGCTAGTTACAAAATTCAATATAAGTCATCACATCAACAATGGGTTCGAGATCGACCTCAAGTACAGGTTCTAAATTAAACAACTGACATATGTGGAGAGCTAGTGTCAAAATTTATATGTTTGTCCTGCACACCGCCCCCATCCCGTGGGCAGCGGTGGATAGGTTACATTCACTTAGTTACTACCTACAGTTAGCAAACTGGGGATATTTGGCTAAAATTTCTGGTAGCAAATCATTTTGAAAGAAATATTGACACATCGCTGGAACATTGGTTATAGAATTGTCTCTAAATTCACGTATCTTTTCGCACTCCATCACATAGTGACGGAGGGTGTGCGAATAATTTTGTTGACACAGTTTACATTTGGTCAGGTCTACATCAGCAGATAATGAGAATTCCCAGAGATACTTGTAACCGAGTCTAAGCCGAGCAGTAGTAACATCTAGAAGTCTGCTGATTTTATTGGATGATCCAATAACGTAAAAAGGGATTTCGATGTGGATTCAAAATATAAGAACATAGGAATGATGGTACCTATTGGCCTACACGAGGCAGCTCCTATTTACATCCACCCAATCTCATTCATATATATGTTTAGTTATGCAGCTAGTCTCCCATTTGGAATAGTATGTGTTATTTAGACAACATTCTTGTGATTGCTATTCCCGTCGCTCTCTGCGGATTCTCATTTGGACGGAAATTAAAATAACATATTTTTAAAAGCCTAATGCACCACTGTGGGCGTATTCATATATGTATCAACTAATACATAAATATTGTTATTCAAAGAACAATCTACACTTAATTTAATGTGCAGCCCACCAAGGAATTATCTTGGTGCTAATCACACTTAAACAACAGTAATGTTTGAAATTGATTTAGGTGAGAAACGGCACATTGAATTAATGTGCAGTTATCACATATTTTGGGGAATCTGTTAACTAGAAAATGTAGACCCCATGTAATATGGCATCACGTAAGCCTCAGTATTATCATACCAGTGTACTGCGGATTCTATAAATTAATGATATTAACTCAACATTGTAGTCATTTTAATGAACAGTAGAACAAAGTTTACAAAAATCACTGTGTACCAAAAATCACTAGAAGCAATATACCACTCTACAGCAGCGCCCACAACACTGTGAAATGTCATCAGGCTCGTCAGGTACAAGCAGTGAGACACGGACACTAACTAGGAAACAAGGAGAAGGACACGGACACTAATTAGGAAATAAGTGGGACACGAGCACTCACTAGGAAATAGAGGAAATACGGAGTGGGACACTGTTATAATCCCACATACACCAAGTATGATTGGTGGATGATTTGTTCATACCGTAGAATAGAATGAAGCAGAATAGCCTAATGTAATGTTTCATGAAATATAATTATGACTCTATTACTGAATTCTATGAATTGCTGTATATAACATACTGTATGAATTGTCATGTACTGTGTATACTTTGATATGCCGGATGTATTATACCTGTATACGTATGTATTATTAAGATATATCGTTTGCCTTGATTTCAAATGTAACAGCCTAATTTTATTTTGCACTGATTGTTCTTAGTACTTGATTTACATATATTGTGAGAGCATGTATAGAGGTAGTGTTGTTGATAGGTTGTATATATATTATACCTGTATACTTGTTATGATGATATATTAGAGCTTGACCGGTAAAGTTTCTAGAATCCTCCGTTAACCCCCCTCCCACTTGCGTACTGGTCAAGTCACTGATGCCATGTCTTGTCGATATGAACTCTTTGTTGATTTATTCACACATAATTATATTGTGCTATTGGTGCAGCAGAATTCTTTGATACTTTCTTGAGAAATGTACTGTACAATATTATATTAGTTATATGTATGTTTAAGTAGTTAAAGCTTGAAATGTCATGTTCTGAGATAGAGATATTTGAAAGAGTAGTGACGGATAGTTCACCGAGTTGGCTAAAGTGTCTCCCGGGGCTCTGCCTAGCCGCTTCCCGTCACTGCTGGGTTGACTTTGAGGATGGTTGGCTGCACTGCGTCGCACTCTGATTTTTGTGGCATTATTAAAGTCCACTGACCCTATAACATAGTATGTACTTGTAGTGATGGAAACTGGATCAATCTGCAGATGTGCACCATGTTTGACAAGTGGTAGGTGATATTTACTTTATAAATTGTGGTGGACTCCTGAGAACATTAAATGACTGGATGATATGGCTTCCTCACCCCACTAGTGATATTTTGTGACACCCATTCTGTACTGTTGTGATTAACCATACTAGAGCTAGTGTACCACTGCACTAGGATAGAGCCTAGTGACAGCTAACTCAGAGAGGGTGTGCAGTATAGTGCATGATATTTTTGTATTGTTAGGCATACTAGAGCTAGTGTACCACAGCACTAGGATAGGGCCTAGTGGCAGCTAGCTCAGAGAGGGTGTACAGGATAGAGCATAATTTGGATGATTCACAAGAGATAGAGACAAACTGATTTTGGTGTAAAAAAATATCAGTGTACAGAACTTAGTTGTGTTCTTATGTGTATTTTTTACCGTGCCTTATGGAGATGTCCCAGTAAACCGGTTGTTTTTATTTATTTGTTTGTATTTTCCCTAGACATAATTTGAAGGCCAGTTGGTCTCATTGAGTTTTGACCACATCAATATTACCAGCGATGCTGTGTGTTACGACCCTGGGTTCCTCAAGTGGAAACCAGAGGTCAAATTGAGCTAAATAAGCTATGTTAGATTAGTGAGACGCATGGCGAGGTGTTGATGTTTGTATATTCCTTGCCAGACGTAAGATGAATCTTGATTTTCCTCCGTGAGGAAAACAATCTTCTGAAAACTGATGAAGCCATAAAAAAACAGGAGGAAGCTCTCAGCAAAATGACTGCATGTATCAGTACATTATCCGCCCAACGTTCCGTCTCCCAGGAAGAACAAGACCAACAAAAGCTGCTAGACTCTGTTATTGTGTCGTCCCAAGATATACCTGTGGAACGTGAAGGTGAAAAGTGTGTCGAAATAGCTCAGGCTCTCATACAAAACGAATTGCAGGTCCTTTTAAACAAAACTGACATTATTGCTGCCTACAGAGTAGGCAAAAAGAATCCATCAGGTCAAAACCAGCGGAAAATTCGCCTGAAGCTGACTTCCCAGTTCATGAAATCCCATCTTGTCCGGACAGCTGCATCCCAACGGAAGGGATTATACATCAACGAGTGCTTAACTAGGAACAGACAGCAACTCCTCTACCACCTGCGTCAAATCCGTCAACAAAACCCAGGTGCGATTCATCAGTGCTTCGTTAGAGATGGATTGATAAAGGTGAGAAAGACCGCAGAGGGCAAAATGTTTACAATTGTTAATGAAGAGAACCTCAACACCTTCCTCTCCCAATGTGGTTTGTCTCACCATATTATCACTCTCAATGAATTAACTTAATTAACCCCCTTGTCAACTAGTGGGGATAGGTATCCTAAGTCTCCTTGTTTCATTTTTTGACTTAATTTTTAACTTACTCTTCACTAGTCATTTACTGAACTTAATTAATTGAGTGAATTAATATTTCTTCAGGTCTTATTAATTACACAGTCATAACTGAATTATTTATAGTTAATAATCATTAGCTTAAATTTGCCTATGTTTATTATTCAACTTTTTCTTTGATTTCATTTATTACCTAGGTTGCCTAGCCTCGCCATATACTCCCTTACTCCATTGTAACCCTGGCTTTGCCTGTATCTCAAATTGCAAATTGTTACTTACAGTGTACCTGAGAGTGCTTGTAAGCAATCTACCTCATTTTTTCTTTTTTTTTGCTCAATTTGTTTTTGTATTGTATAGTCTTGTTTATATCTTTGTTTTGTATTTCTATATCTTTTGTTTTGTATAGTCCATGTTTATATGTTTTTTCTTTAATCTCAATTATTACCTAGGTTGCCTAGCCTAGCCATACTCCCTTACTCCATTGTACCCTTGTAAGCTACCTCATTTTTTTCTTTTGTTGTTCATATTGTGTTTGTTTTGTATAGTATTGTTTATAAATTTTTCCCCCTTT